CACAGTAATAAATTAGCGCCGTGATTTGGTTGGGTAGTTACCCGAGATTCTTTCTTCCACGCCATTGCTTTTGACTTCCTACAACAGAATGTTTTCAGCAGGGAAGGTGTTCTGCGATTAGCTGTTTTGTTCTGGGAAATAGAGGAAGGCGTCCCGCTGCCTGAGAAATAGAGGTCTACATTGAAACTAGTTTGACAACAGGGTGCAATTTTTGTGTTTGCTTTGCTGCTAGTTTGTTAGCAAGTGCGAATAAAGTTGTTGTCAATAGGACAACTTTGATAAAAGCGGATCCCTCAGGGCTCAGCATGAGTGTCAATTAAATAACAACCCAATTTGTGTGGTATACACTGCAAATTAAAGCCTTCCCAGCAAAGAAAGGCATAAAATGAGAGGGAATGAGAGACAGCAAAATTATCACAGTAGCAGAGCATAGCATCCCCGGCAACTCTGTAAACCCAGAAATACAACATCCATGACTTGCAACATTATAATAGAGGCAAAGAATTAAAGCGACCCGACCCATTGTCGTACATCCTCAAATGCACTCAGCCTGAAATCATTTTGATTCAGTTCACAAAGTTGCTCTGCACCGCCTAGAACTTGGTTTGGTTTTCACAATTGCAGCCCGCACGCTCAAACGAGGCCGACAGCGCAGCGAGAGGGAAACTCTTCGTCTCTGACTTGGGATGGTATGCTAATTCGGAGTCGTCGCTGTTCGATGGAGAGACGCGCAGTGAACACTACGTATTCCTTCGCCTATGTTGTACAGAATACCTTTCGGAGGAAACATGTCGGGATTTTAATCGAAGCGTTATGCTTATACATGGACATGGGATTGACTGACAGACTCGCCGCCGACGGGAGTGATTTTGTAGAGGTCGCCGGAGTGGGAGACAGAGTAAGTGAAGCTTTGGGTTTGGACCTAAGCGGTTAAATGTAATTTAATTAATGAAAATAAAAATGAAGAAAGCATTGACGGAGAAAAAGAGGGTCGGAGGGGTTCAGAATAAATAGACTGTTAGATTAGCGGGTTGGGTTGGGCCACATGTAGCGGCCCGATTTGGTTTTGGCCGGATTTTAATGCACCCAATTGCCACATCACTGCTACGTGGACCAATTAAAATCTGCGTCACCGGTGCCGCAATTTTTACAGCGGCACTGTAGTATTGGCCTTCTTTCAATAGTTAGACCCAACTTCTCCACTGACCCATGACCTCTATTGGCCCGAACGAAATCTCGTCTCTTGGGTTCTGCACAAATGACGGCCCAGTTGCCTCAGCCCTACTTCCATGTGCTTCTCCACCTCATCTCCGCCATTTCCTTGTCCTACGTGACTAGCGATTCTAATAGTGATGAACTGATGATCTAGTTTATGGGGAAGATAAATCACCTTGGAAATGGACAGCAATTATGCTTACAGCTCAAAGCCTCAAACAACCACGACATTATGCTTACAACTTTCAACCAATCACCACTCGATCTTGGTAATTCTTGCTCGGATTCCTTCCACTTGATGCTTGTCCAATGTGTATTATAAAGTGCGTGGTGAAGAACCTTCTCCTTGTTTGCAAACTGATCTGAAAGAAGTAGAACCAGATAATCAAAATGGAAAAAGCAATATACGCAATTTACATGATTTCCCCCTGATTATTTAGATGGAAGGAGGGGGCATTGGGAGGACAGGCCTACAACTTTTCGATAGAATTATAGTTTTTTTTATCACTACTTAAATTAAATGGAGTAGATAAAAAAAGACAATGTCTATTTTTTATCCAAACCTTTCCAATTTTTTTTATTTTACTCAAACCTATAAAATTTTTATTTATTATCAAAACGTTAACTCATCGTCAACTTTTCCGTTAATATTGCTGACTCAACATCACAAAACTTAGTTGGCTTCTGACATGGCGGTCAACATATCATTTTATATTTTAATTACAAAAAATAATAGAAAAACAAATTAATAAAGTGAGTCGCCGTCCACAGCACCCTCCTCTCCTCCCTTCAGTTTCTTCTCCACCATCGTCATGCTCTCGCACTGCAGATATGTAGAAAAACCCCAAATCAATTAGCCTCTGTTTTTTACAATTTCTCGATGAAAATATTGAATTGGGTAATTTGGGGGAAGGGTGGGACGAAGACGAACTTGGAAGGAGATGTGGTTGTCTTTAGGGTTTATTTCGCTGATCTTGGGCATGCTTTCTGGGTTTTCGGACTGAAGCAAATGGATTCTGATTCCGTAACCAAACAGCCTGCAGGAAGAACAGAGACCCAAAATCGAATCAAAACCTTATGTTTTCCCTTTGTCAAAATCTCAAATTGGGGGAAAGAAGTTTTGTGTACCAGGCGTCGTCGAAGTCGAAGGAGCCAAGGCGGCGAATCGTGAAGAAGCCAAGAACGTGCTGGTTGAAATCGAGGGATTTCTCGACGGATCGACAGACGAGGGAGATGTGATACAACGACTTGAGCTGCAGAGGGTTGTTCATTCCCATGCCCATTATAATTCTTCTCACTTTCCAATCTTGGAACTCTTAATCGAACAAGTGTGGTGAAAGAAGGGGGAGTTGCAGAAGGGAAGTGGAGAAGGAAGAGGGGGATTGATGGCAGAGATGATGGTGGTTGCAGACCCAACAAACCTCTTCACGTTCGTCGAATGTTGGTGAGCATACTACTACTGACTGCTCTACTTCTCCCTGTCTCTCTTCTTCTCTGCCGCTTCCGCCGTGACCGTGACAGACGCAACCCTCTGCTACTGCCCTCACACGCCCCTTTTCTGTCATTTTTCAAGTTACAGATATAGATTTCAGACTTTCCTCCGCTCCGCGTCATCGAGCTTCTTCGCCACTAGCGGAAGAAAGAATTGTGAAGGCGCGATTTGCGAGATTCTCCTTTGCCCGATGAGGCTTCGAACGCCGGCAATGGAGACATAGACTCGATTATCTTTCTGTGTGGTGATTAAATCGGCGGCGACGGAGGAAGATGCGGTGATTTTTGGGTTGAGATTTTTTTATTAATGGAGAATGGCAACTCGATCTGCAATCTAGAGCTCACAGGTCTAGAAATCGAGTGGAGTTGCATGGGAACGGTGGAGTACCGTGGGGAGAGAAGGGCTTATTTATTTAATGCTTTTTTATTGGGTAAATTGCAATGATGGTCACTGGGTTTACAAAAAAAACGTTCATGTTTGGTCACTACAAATATTTAATTCTATTCGTGGTCACTAAGATTTGTTCAATAGCTCATGTTTTGTCACTCTCTGTTAGTCTCCGTTAACTTTTGCTGATGTGCCAGTTAACATTTGTAGTTGAACGTTAAATGAGTGACGTGGTTATAAAAAAGTAATAAAAAATAAAGTTTAATTTATAATAATTTCCACCTTATTACATATTCATTAAAAAATAAATTAAAAACCTCATTTATACTAATTGGCGCCCCGTTGATCTCATCAGTGGCTTCAGAATTCACAATTGCTTAAGCCCTGTTCACTTTCATTTTCGTTTCCTGTTTTCTGTTTTCATGTCATAATTTTGGTAACCGAAATGAGAAAAGTTTTTTACTTTTCATTCCGTTTTCTATTCGTTTTCAACTATGAAAACAGAAAGTGGCAACTTCCTGCTGTTTTCGGAAACGACAAAATGTTGTTTTCACCTGTTTTCAACATCTGTTTTCTCAAAAACAGGAAACAGAAATGAAAGTAAACAGACCCTTAGGTTTCTTGAGAAATCGAGTATTCTGTAATAATGGGGAGTTGGGTGAAAAGAAAGAGGGAGAAGATAGAGGGGCGCCAATTAGTATAAATGAGGTTTTTAATTTTTTTTAATGAATATGTAATGAGGTGGAAATTATTATAGATTAAATTTTATTTTTTATTACTTTTTAATAATCACGTCACTTATTTGAGGATCAATTATTATTGTTGACTGCCACATCAGCAAAAATTAACGGAGAGTGACTCACATGCGCTATTGAACTAATCTTAGTGACCACGAATGGAATTAAATATTTGTAGTGACCAAACATGAACGGTTTTTGTAAACCCAGTGACCATCCTTGCAATTTACCCATTTTTATTTTATTAATTTCTGATATGGACGCTGACGTGGACGCTGACATGGAGATCCGTTAGTAAAAAATTAACCTTAACAGAACGAATGCCCAAACTATGAACAGATACAATACGTTTGGATAATAAATAGAATTTCTATAGGTTTGTGTAAAATAAAAGAATTTTGAAAATTTTTGGGTAAAAAATAGACATAGGTAACGTGAAAGCACAAGACAAATGAGTAACCCATTCATAAAGATGGAATATAAAATACACTAACAGCAAATAAGTCGTGCAAACGGGCCACTCTCACGGGCTTGTCCCATCTGTCTTTTATGGGCTTGATGGGCCTTCTTCTTGGGCTTGTTTGGCCTGTGATTTTGTGTTTGTTTTGCAGGTATATGCTTTGGGAATTTCCTCTTGCCTGGCTTTTGGTGTAATGGGCTACCTCAATTCACTTTATATGTCTCTTTCAGATCCTAGCTGGTTGTACGAGTTGCTTTTCTTGTTTGTGAAATTTCAACTATTTTGTAGTCTATGTGTTCATTCATTTTGCAGGTCTAGTTGCTTATAGGGGTGCCCTTTTATGGCACTAACGGCCCTTTCATAGGTAGTTCGTCTATTGGTCAACAACCTGGATTACTTTTGTATTATGTATGACTCGTGGCTACAAACTTAATAAATGTCTATGTTAAAAAAAATAACCAAACCAAATAGGCCAAATTAATGATGATTAAATATGTGCCACCAATTCTCGAAAGGTCTTCATAGCAGAAACCGGCAGTCCAATGAACACATTCAAACTCTTGGCGTCTCTATCGTGACCTATAAAGGTAATCGATTCGTACTGAGGCAATTCAACCGATTCGAACAACAACGGCTCACCCCACCCGAAATCTATCAAATACAAATGCAACCTTTAGCACGCAGTTGCTATCATCGTATACCCCAAAGGCTACGTTGCTTTCGTTGCTTCCATGCAATCTATAGTAGACCTTATCACCCCATCACCACAATTAGCGATGCCATCCTGAATCTTCTTAACCGCGAAACAGAGTGGCTTCTCCAATATGTCACGGGCCAACCACGTACCCGCTGGCGGCATCATCTTGATGGCGTTCCCAAAGTATCCTTCTGGCAGCCGCGGCTCGAGCCTTTCCCTCGCATCGATGACCAACACGAGCCGGGTTTCTTGGTCGGGGGCCATCTTCAGCGCCGTGATCCGAGCCCTCCATACCACAGCCATGACGGCTTTGAAAGTGGTGCAACTGGTGATGAGTTGGCTGCCCTAGAGGAGGACTCGCTGTAACAAAAAAGATGAGTTGGGGAAAATGAAACCCTAGAAGTGTTGGGTGATTCTCATTCATAATTGGCTTTAAATAGGAAAAAGCTTTGCACTACAAGACAACATGTGCAAGCTAGCAATTGGAGACTACAAAGATAAAATATTAATTAAAACTAAAGTCTAAATACACATTGACATTAAAGTAAACTTGATGATGATGATTTCGTCTAAACCTTGTCGATCCACTTTAACATTCATGGTCGCCGGTTTGAGTCTTGATGATCTTTCAATATCTCCTATTACCCCCCCCCCCCCCCCCCGCGCGCAAACGAGTGAGCACAAAATGAGCACACAAAACTTGGAGAGAGAATACAGTCTTGACTTGAGAATGTTGCTGCACTGTTGGCTAGCTAACTTCCCTTCAAACCTTTAAATGGTGAAGCTGCTGCATCTTGCTAGCTAACTTCCCAAAAATCTTCTGAAAAGCTTTACCTGGATTTTCAATGTGGATAGGATATGTTGCAGCTTTGTTGCTAGCTAACATTCCTTCCAAGAAACAAACCTTGAAGTCAGCAGGAGAGAGTACTGTTTGACTACTATCCTCTGCTTCTCCAAGTAGATGAGGATATGCTGCTGCTTTTTGAGCTAACTAGCATTCCAAAAAATTACTTCAAACTCAACAGGGGAGCCCTTTTGGGCGTCTTTCCTCTGCTTCTTCAAACAAGGATGTCGCTGCAATATGGCTAGCTGGTTGTCCTTCTCATCTCCAGCTTTTGCTGGGCCTTCAAAGATGCCATAACAACAAAGATGAGTTGGGGAAAATGAAACCCTAGAAGTGTTGGGTGATTCTCATTCATACTTGGCTTTAAATAAGCAAAAGCTTTGCACTACAAGACAACATGTGCAAGCTAGCATTTGGAGACTACAAAGATAAAAACATTAATTCAAACTAAAGTCTAAACACACATTTTCGATCCACTTTGACATTCATGGTCGCCGGTTTGAGTCTTGACAATTTTTCAATATCTCCTGTTACGCTGCTTGATCTTGCGAATCATTTCTTCTGTGAAGTGGGCGTACTCGAAGACCACGGGCCCCTTGTCGAAATCGTGGAGGCTCGATGATTTGTCTTCCGGGTCTTCGTATTCGGAGTGATGGTGCTCGATTTTTGGTGGAACCCGTGCTTTCAGTAAGGTCGTGTCGAGGAATGGTGGGACTGAAAGAGGCAGCCCTCGTGCCGTTTCCGCCCATGAGTTAAGGAACCCATAAATTGATGCGCTGTCTTCGAGAAAATGATTCCAAGAAATCCCAACCACGAATCCCATGTAGATGAAAAATGGGCAAAACTCGAATAATATTATTGAATGAACGAACAAACTTAAATACATCAATGCCCTGGCCAACTACTCGCTGAAAACCAGCGAACTCTGCCAACTACTTACCCCATTACCCTAAAGCACGCAGCCACAGCTAAACCCTATAACAACCTCAACTAACAACTAAGCTGTCTTACTTAACAAACAGCCCAACCCCATACTCTTAACATTAAACAACCCCTACCAATATCAAGACTCATTAACTAAAACTAGATCAGTTTATTCTAACATAGCCTCCCCTAAACTGAAACGTTTCACATTTCAGTTTACTTCAAAGAAATATTCCCATGAGGTTCAACTTTCTGCAGCATCATCATTCAATCAAGACATTTACAGTCAATTTCAGACTTTGCAGCGGCCGCTTCAGTCTTCAGGACCTCCTTCCAATCAACGAAAGCCGGATGACAAGCACATGTGTTTCTAACATTAGCCTCCCCTAAATTCCAGCAGCAACACCCTAGACTTCAAACAAGTTGTAATTTTCAATCCATCAACTCCTGATCAGAGTGTAGCACGTTCTGATTCTGTTTTAGATAGAGTTAATGCTGACACTACCTTTGATGCAGAAGATATTGCTCCTCCTGCCAATAACTTACTGGTACTCCTTTTATCATCAGATTGCCCATCATAATGACTCTCAATAGGCCCCAACAAGGTAAGCTCCCGCAAATAGAGGTGGCAATTAGGATCCAAATCCATGAATCCAATCCAATCCATCCACCAAATTATCCACTTAATCCAATCCATTTAAATCCAATCCATTTGATCCAAATTCAATTGGATTGGTGGATTCATGGATCAATCCATGGATCCAAATGATAAATTACGATTTGGTACCTATATTTTTTTATATTTTACATTTTGGTACCTAAAATTTGTATTTTTATACGAAAAAAATCATTGGAAAATTACATTTTGGTACCTAAAATTTATCGTTATGACATTTTAGTACCTAAACTTTTCAAAATTTACATTTTGGTCCAAGCCTTGGATGTCATTTGGATTCATGAATCAATCCACCAATCCATTTGATCCAATCCATGAATCCACCAATCCATTGAATCCAATCCATTGGATCCATGGATCCACCAATCCAATCCACGAATCCACGAATCCGATACAATTGCCACCTCTACCCGCAAACCTTTCTTGTACCAGACCCCAAAGACCATAATTGAAAAAAGAAAACCCCCCGCAGAGGCAATTCCTGTGCACCAAGAGACGTTTTACTGTACATGCAGACTCATAACAACTGTTTCGACTCGGATTGGGCTACGGTGTTGGTGGGTTTATGGTGAGGCCTCATTGGAAATCGAATGGAGTTGGATAGCTTGGTTGTGATGGAACTGGTGGTCTTATGGTTTCGTGAATTAGTTGCTTGGGTATCCTCTATCACGTTGGCCACAAGTGGGCTCAGTGTTCCCGATGTTAGCTTTGGCCCCTTCGATTTCCGGGCGGTTGTGTCAGAGGGCCTGGGTGGGCAGGGGGCTTTTCAGTCTTCAGAGATGGAGAAACTGACCTGCTTATCAGAGGGTAGAGTTTTGGAGGTGTGAGGCGACTGGGGTCACTCATTGAAAGTTGAAACAGTTAGAGAGCCTTGGGAGCTGTCTCTGTTGAGTTTGCAGTTGAAAAGAGAGGTACTACTTTCTATTGGGTGGTAGATAGAGTTCCACGTTTATCTTTTCTTACATCAGTCTTTTCCTTTACTTTATTGAGCCCTATTATCTCACTTGGTCATCACAGATCTCTCTCAACTCTTCTAAAATCCATTTTCTCTGTTTTCTGCTTTTCTCTCATCTCTTTTTGCTTCCTGGATTTGTGATTTCCTCCTTGGTTCTGTTGTTTCTCACCATTGGCATCTACATGGTCCCCGTGGTATTTGCGCAGGTGAATACCAAGTACGAACTGATGTTCAATGAGGCCGGCAAAGAGATGATATCGGCGAGATCCATTGATTTGCGCTTTGGTTTAAGGTGATTATTTTTATTCTCGCTCTCTTATTGAGTTTGTTTTATCATCTTTCCTGAATGGCTCCCTGCTCTCTCTTTTTTCTGCAGATCTGTTTCGTCTCTTTTCTGAGGAGGTTTTGGCGTTGAGATCATCAAGAGGGATTTCAGTGTGTTGAGTTGGTCGTTGAATCTAAGAAAAAAGTATCAGGTCCAGGAGATTAGCTCTGGCTGCAACATCAACAGTATTGTTGATTGTGTGATAGTAAAGCGGTTTCTCTTTTCTTCTTGATATTTATTACATAGTACAGAGGTAGAGGAACTCAAGAGCAAGTTACATATTGTTGTGTACATCTGATTAGAATTCTCTTACTATCTGGAGTTTAATATTCCATTATGCATTCTCGCATAAACCAATGTATATATGCTATTGTGATTTCTTTTGTTTGAGGATTTGTGATCAGCATTTGATACTTAATCAGTGACTCTCCTCTCTCCACATGTTATTTTCCAGTATTAGCTTTAAGAATTAGGTTTGGTTATAGTATGCTACTGTTAATGATTTCATATCCACCGGAATGCAAGCGATAAAATGCAACTGTCCGCTTGTGTTCTGCAACAATGCCACATTCTCTTTTGTACTCACCATGTACTTAACGTTGCGTGTCGTTTTAAATTCCGGAGCTTGAAATGTGTAGATGAGTTCATGTTTAACTTTGGACTTTAGCTAGCATGTTATGGACTTTGTAGAACAAATTTGATTGATGGAAATCAGATCAATAACTAAAAGATGTAGACAATCATGTTTATGTTTAATATGTTTGTATTTATACACTCATTAGCACATTACACAGTATGAAACATGAAAGGCAGTAGTTTTGTTTTGTTGATTTTGTTTTGTTTTCTTGATTTTGCTCAAATCCCGACGCGGAGCGTGGGCAATGAAAACTAGTTCCTATTAAATGCCTTGGAAACCCTTTTACAACATAGAAATTGCAGCGGGTTGGTTTTCCTGGTCACATACTTAACAAGTAGACAACATAAATGATTCCTGATCTTGTAATTAAATCTAGTAAATCACCTATCAGCTACTTGTAATATATATATGGTATCCACTAACAGATCATTCCGGGGCAGTGTTAACTTAATTAGCTCGTGATACTATGACTTTTGGAGCACAAATACTTTCAAGCCTCTGAAACCTGTCACACAAATCCCTAGTGCATTTTTGCTTCCACATGAACAAACCATTATCACCCCGAAACACCTCTACACCCAGGCAATATCTCATATTGCCGAGATGAATCATCCCAAACATAGGCTGTGATAGGGCAAAAGCGCAATGCTTCAATTCCTATCTCGTAGTAAAACCGGAAAGTCTGGGTATCATCTCTCAGAGACTGGTACAACCTTATAATATATCAATTCTACGAGCAAACTATAAGTGAAAATAGTTTAATGAGACTAATTTCTAAAATCAAAATAAACTAAAAAATTAAGCAAATGAAAACTGTCGGGAGAAATTCAATGGAGAAAGTTTTGGGAGAAACACCGGGACTCGCTACCTATCATATCCAAATTAATTCACATATTCCAATCAATTTAATGCATATCTCTACAGCCAGGATATCACTACTGT